GTTTTCTTCACTTGATTTCTAGGGTACAATTGCTCTTGGCTCTCTTATTATCTCTCTAGCTAGTTCTCTTCTACTTCCTTGCTGGTAAATGAAAAGGGGGAAAAGGTGCAACACCCATCTTAGGAAGATAATAGGTCTTCTTTGTTCTAGGCTGGCTGGGATCTCTTGTAGAACAAAGACCAGACCTTCTAGGGAACAAGAAGCACCCAGAAAAAGCTGAGAACTTGTTTTCTATGTTTGCAGGCCAATCAACATATGAAAGTGTATTATCTATCACCACTGAAAAAAGAAAACTACTTCCTAAAAGAGATCATTGTTTAAACCTTCAACCAACATAAAATATAAAACTCAAGTCACCATATGGTTGTAGAACTATGAAAGAACTTCTACCTATTCAGAACAGTCTCAAAAAAATTCAAATACTTAGGAATTAACCTAACAAAGGAAACAAAAGACCTTTATAGGGAAAATTACAGTACTCTGAAAAAAGAGACTGAAGAGGATATCAGAAAATGAAAAGACATCCCCTGTTCCTGCGTAGGCAGAAGAAGTACTGTCAAAATTACTGTATTAACAAAACTGATATACAGATTTAATACAATTCCAATCAAAATGCCAACCGTACTCTTCACAGTACTAGAAAAAAAAATAGTAAAATTTATATGGAACCAGAAGAGACCCAGAATAGCAAAAGCAATCCTGAGCGACAAGAATGGAGCAGGAGGCATCACAGTCCCAGAGTTCAAGTTACATTACAAGGTTACAATGATAGAAACAGCATGGTATTGGCATAGAAACAGACATGTGGACCAACAGAACAAAACAGAGAATGCAGAAAGAATCCCAGGCACATTCAGCTATCTGATCTTTAACAAAGGGCCCCCCAAAAAATATGCTGGAGAAAAGATAGCCTCTTTAACAAATGGTGCTGGGAAAATTTGCTATCTACATGCAAAAGAATGAATCTAGACCCATATTTCTTAACCTGTACTAATAAAAAAATCAAAATTAATCAAAGACCTAGGTGTTAAAACACAAACAATCTGCTGGGAGATAAAAAAACGAACCAACCAAACAAACAAACTTCTGCGCAGCAAAGAAAACAAACCAACAGAGTGAAGAGAAAACCTACAGAATGTGGAAAAATTTTTGCCAGCTATTCCTTGAACAGAGGACTAATGTCTAGAATATATAAAGAACAAAAAAATTAGACCTCCTCCACAACCCAGTTGAAAAATAGGCAATTGAAATGAATAAACACTTCTCAGAAGAAGAAATACAAATAGCCAATAAGTATATGAAAAATGTTTAGCAACTTTGGTCATTTGAGAAATGCAAGTCAAAACCACATGGAGATTTCATCTTACTCCAGAAAGAATGTCTATCTAAAGAACTTAAAAAACAATTGTAAGGGTGGGGGATTTAGCTCAGTGGTTCCAGCACCTGCCTCGCAAGCACAAGGTCCCTGATTCAATCCCCAGTGCCAAAAAACAAACAAAAATCCCCAACAATTGTAGGTCAGTTATGGAGAAAAAGGAACCCTTCTATATTGTTGGTAGAAGTGTAAAATAAAGCAACCACTATGGAAATCAGTATGGAGATTACTCAGAACACTAAAGTAGAGATTCCATTCAACCAGCTCTACTTTTTTAGGTATCTTCCCAAAAGAGTTAAAGACATCGTATTACAATGAAACAAGCAAACCTATTTTTATAGCAGTACCACTCATAATAGCTAAATCTTGGAAATGACCTATATATTTATCAACAGATAAATAAAGAAAATGGAGTACTACTCAAGCATAAAGAAGGATAAATTTGATTCATTTGTAGAAAAATGGATACATCCTTAGACCATAAATTAGCAAAGCAAAATAAACACAGGTTAAATATCACATGGTTTCTTGTATATGAGATATACAAAACACAAATAATTTAAGGAAAGAAGTAAAAAACTATAGGAAACAGGGAGGCAGATCTTTTGCAGATGAGACAGGATTGTAGGGTTTGAAGAAAAGGGGAGGGAGAAAAGGGAAAGTAAAAAGGATTAAAATGCAATATGAATATGCACCATCTCTCCAGATGAATGTATTCATTATGCCTCATATACACGTTCTAATAAAAATGTATTTTAAAAAATAAATTCTAAAGTAACAAATTTACCTTATGAAGTGAATAAGCAGCTTCTTTATTTATCTGGCCATGGATAACAGATACAATAATAAAAAGAAGGGTGAAAACTAACATTTTTCTACCATAGAATACAAGGCTGGTTAAGGTTAGAGAATAACATTGAAAACTGCTTTTGATGAAAACAAACTAGAAAAGAGGATTTCCTTATTCAACGAAAAATTACAGGAGGTCACTGATCTGGATTAAGCTCCTGCACCAGAACCCAAAAGACCAAACGGAAACAAAATGGAATCATTCATGCTAAATAATCAAACTGAAATAAAAACAAATTAAAACTGTAGGAAAGCAAAGAGACCACTAAGCAGACCAGTTTTTCCTGAAAGCAAGAGATTTCGGTCTACTTGAGTCAGCATGATAAAGAACTCTCTGCTTTAATCTTTATAAAAAGTGAACAGCAGTAATGTGATGTCAACCAACCAACAGGTTGTGGGTGTGTGTGTTTTTAACTATTATTCTGTTTCTTGCTGCCACCCTACTAACACAGATACACTTCTTTTTCCCAGTGTGAACTCTCATTTTATTTTATAGAATGGAGGCTGCCAGTTTCCAATAGTTGTATTTGTTGTATTTTAGTCTTTTGACACCCCTAAATTGGGTCCACCTTTTAAAGAGTGACCAAGGAATTGTCAGGTTGGTGGAAGGGCTAAGAAGAAATAACAAATAAATGGAATATGAGACCCTAAATTGAATTTTAGAATAGGAAAGAGAAAGAGTGGAAAACTAATAAAATCCAAATAAAGTCTAAATAAAAGTCTAAACTAAATAAACCTAAATAAAAATAAAAAATAAAAATAATCTAAACTAAATAAAAGCCAAATAAAGTCTAACCTAAATAAATTTAGTTTAAAAGCAAACAAAAACTCTCAAAGGAAAAAAACTCAAAGAAGTTTCAATACATGAAGTCCTTTCTCAGGATTTAGCACACATCCTGTGTAAGTACCTGGTCTCCGTGGAGTCCTAATCAGTCAAGACACACCCTTCTAGGAACTGAAAACCTTTCACTGTTAGAAGGTTCTTCCTTGTATTGAATGAGTTAATTCACTCAGCTTAGTTCTTCCTCTTAGAACTACAAATACTGTAGTAAATTAATAAGTCCAATTCCTCTTTTACTTGATCTTTACATACTGTATATTCTAAATCAAGTTTCTTCCTGAAGATTGACACACCCTGATCCCTTCATCTTCTACATCATGATATTTACACCCTTTCATTCTTGTTACACAAATTTAAACTTTGTCAAATGACCTGACAACCAATGCTTACCAGTGCAGAGTATTCTGAACTATTTCTCTTGTTTCAAATACTATGCCTTTGTGCCTAAAACTGTCCTCCCATTTTAACAGCTACATTATTGTTGCCTGTGTATGAACTTACAATCACCAATTCCTTAGTCTTTTTTCAAATGGATTCCTATGATGGAATTGTCAGGAGTCAGGGTGGGAATGGGAGCATAGCCACTAACATCATCCTGCCATTTTATTCTGTCAATAACAAATAATTTCAGTGCTATGTGCCAGACAATTGCAATGTGATGCCGACCTATGCTCAAATTTGCTATGGTCTCAATGTTCGCACTCCCCTCAAATCCATATGTTGAAACCCTAATCTCTAAGGTAAAAGAATTAGGGGATGGAGCCTTTGGGGGTGATTAGGTTATGAGGACAGAGCCTTCCTGAATAGGGTTAATGGCCCTTATATGAAAGACCCAGAGAGATCTCTGGCCTCCTGTGCTATGAGAAGTTAAAAGGAAAAGAACACTGTGTAGGAAGCAGGCCCTCACCAGACAGGGACTCTGCCCAGGCCTGCATCTTGGACTTCCTGGCCTTCCGAACTGTTAGAAATAAATTTCTGTTGTTTATAAGGCACCCAGTGTGTGGTATTTTGTTAGAGCAGCCCCTGTGGACTAAGCTAATTATCCAAATCTACCCCAAAACTCATTTCAATAAAACCTATAAAAGACTGGACAGAAAATATATGAAGCAGTTCCCAATCATTATCCAACTCATAAATCTAAAATCTTGCACAAAAGCCTCTGAAGGGTAGATCATCACTACCAATCATTTACCCATACTACTTACGCAGGATAATTCAGTATCTGATTCTCAACCCTAAGACTATTTTCCCCCTCCTCACATAATCACACTGGCAAGTGGTAAAGTGAGACATCCAAAGTACTCTTGTATGAAAGAGAACTTTCATTCATCCATGAGCCTTATCTGAGAGTCATAAACCACAACTGAAGAAGCCACCTGGTCACATACACACACTTTAAAAGCTGTGATGCAACCCCTTCCAGAAAACAAGTGTCAGGTCTAGGATTCCCAAGTGCTCATCCAGGGCGGGAGCCATCTATTACACAAAGCCAACTCATTATTACTTCCTCACACCTGGCATCATGAATCCATTTTCTGATGTTTCACCCTCAACATCCCCAAACCTCTTTGAAGTCAAAGCATTTGTCATTTTTGTCAGGTGTAGAAAACATTCATAACACATGCACTGCAATTCTCTGATGAGCAAAAACGTGCTCATTTGAGGATCGCTTAAATCCTTAGTATCTCACAAAGGGTGTCGATTTGCAAAAAAAAAAAAAAAAGTATTTGCAAAGCAGCCTCCCCGTACTAGTCACTTTGGGGACAACGGATTCCGATGTCAGGAATGGGATGCCAGCAACACTAGGTCACATGGCACAACCCCTAAGGCCAAGCCCAGGGAGTCAGCGGGCAGGCTGGAGCCTGGCGGGGCGGGCGCCAGCTCATGAGTGACAGCGCCAGCTCGGCGACCCCCGTCCCACCCCCGCCCCCTCACCTCTCTTGTCAAGGAGCCACATGAACGCGAAGCAGGGCAGGAAGCCTATGGGCCCCCACAGCACCAGCAGCGCGATGTCCCAGCTGGAGAAGCCATAGGCCTGGCGCGCCGAGTTCTGGATGGGGCCCCAGGTGTTCCAGACCAGGCCCTGCGCGAACGCCAGCAGCGAGAAGAGCAGCAGGACGAGCCATCGGCGCCCGTATACTCGCCCGGGGCCCAGGCCCGCCGCGGGCAGTGCCGCCGCCGCTTCCCGGCTCCTCCGTGCGGACCCCGGCCCAGGCCCGAGAGCGGGCCCTAGCAGTGGCTGCCGCTCCTCCTCGCTGCTCCAGCCCGAGCCCATGGCGCCGCCCACCCTCCTCGTCCCGGCCCGGCCCGGCCCGGCCCGGCCGGCGCGCCGCCGACGAGCCCGGCAGACGGGGCAGAGCGCCGAAGCGCGAGCCGCTGGGGTCACTGGCTGCCGGATGCGCCTGTGCGCCTGCGCGCGGAGCTGGCTCGGAGGAAGGTGGGGGCAGAGGGAGCCCCGGTCCGCCCTTCCCGCTAGCGGGGCGCGGGATGCCGCGAGGGGCGCGGAGCCAGGACCCCGGGCGCGGAAAGACAGCGGGCAGGCGGGAGGGCTGCCGGCGGGCGGGCGACCGAGGGAAGCGCCCGGGAGGTTGTGGGGGCGGAGGTTGAGCAAGCCAGGGATTGTCGGAGGAAGTGCCCAAGTTTACAACACGCGCCTAATAAACAACTCGGTGACCTCAGGCCACCAGCCTAATGCTTGCTTCTCTATTGGGTTGACTTCGTTTTTATTGGGCTTATACCTTTGGAAATTACAGGGAGTATAGGATAAGATTGAGATGTAAAGAGTCAGGAAAATAATTTCTTTGTAAGCTCTACCTAGTTTTAAAACTAGTCTTATCAGTTGTCTTTTTTTGTGCCTTAACACGCCTGGTGAGATTATAAAGTAGCCAATTTTATTCATATATGACAGGTAATCTCTCTGCCCATCCCTCAGTAAGCGACGACTAAAGATTATGTTAAGGGAGGAAGATTTGTGTCCTGCAGTGTCCCAGAGCCATCTCCTGTGAGGTGGGCTGGAGGAAGGGTGAGCGAGGGAGAGTGGAGTTGTTGCTCTCTTGGCCAGCCCTTTTTCTTGATACACAAACCCTGAAGCCCAACAGTTTGGCTTGTTTGGGTTGGGAAATGAGTCACAAGGAATGCAATCAAAGGACGCCCTGTCAAGTTCACGTTCCTGGACTGCCTCGGAAATCAGATGAGGTCATCTTGCGACCAGAAGGGCCGTGGGATGGGCAGGAGGCGTGAACTGACCTAGTACCCAAGCCTGACAAGAGCCGCACAGAGCCACTCCTGAAACTTCGACCTTTCTGCGTGGGGAAGGCAAGAGTGGAAAGAAAGAACAGAACTAGAAAACGAGGAGAAGCAGAAACGAAGCTAGGGCTACACGAGATCAGGCTAGGGTCAAGGGCAGGCAGCAGGCGCCCCGTGCCAGAGCACGTGCTGTAAGCCGCTCCAGCACCACGGACCAAAACAAATCGGCTCGGCCCGGCCCCGCGCGTCACGTGACCCAGGAGCACTGTTTCCGGGCAAGGCGGCGCGGCGCTGCGACTCTTTCCGGGGGTGACTGCAGACCTCTCAGCTCTGCTGTGTGCTTTCCCTTGGAGGGCGCCTCACGGTAACCATGGCAGCGGGCACCCAGGAGAGCCCTCTCTTGGCCCTGGCAGCTGGAGCTGCCCGGAACAAAGGTAAGTGCCAGGCCGAGGTCAGAGCTTGGGGCAGCCCTGTGCGTGAGATTTCTGGTCCCATTCTGGACCTCTGCGTCCTTGATTTAGGCTATGGAGAGAGTGACTAGTTTTTAGTAAAAGTACCATTTCTCTAATCGTTATATCCAGATACAAGGCCTCGTGTTCCTGCATTCTAGCAGTGCTGTTGCACGCACGCACAGGGTGTTTTTTGAAAGAGAGTTGATGAAAATTAAATTTGTGACAGTGGAGACCACTCCTTGAGGTAACTAGAAATAAATTGATATTTTTGTGGGCAAGGCTTACGAGCTTTTATTCATTTTCTGTGGAACCCTGATTTAACGAATGAGTGAGGTTTGCAGGCCCGTGAGCTGGATGGAGATCACTGTTAACATTTAGGGAGTGACTGCTCCGTGTACTGCACTGTTCTGTAAACTGCCACGGGATCTACAGACTTTGAAATTTTCATACCAGTGCCTTTCATCAAGGAGCTCACCAAGGGGTAAAGGAACCTAGAAAGGAAAAAAAGCATGACTAATTTGTGGTCCCTTGAGTACTACCCATAGTACACACTCACTGGGTGATGGCTGTCGTGAGGAGGAGGCATCCCAGTGAAGTAAACGGAAATGCTTCAAGGAGGGAGTACTTTGAGACAGGCCTTATGCTTAGATGAGATAGTGACAGGCCAAGGTAGTGCTGCTGAGGGCTCTGGAAAACCGGAGCAGGAAGTGCAGGATGGGTGCGTTTGGAGAATGTAGTTTGCCAAGAGGAGCCGCTTCCCATTCCCAGCAAAGAAATGATAACCTCCTGCTCTGACTGCTTTTTCCTGCCTTTAAGCTCACTTGCTTATGCACCATCAATCCTTCTATTTTCTGTCCACTGCACTTCTTATCCAGTTTAGGGTGCTTGTCATTGTTTATCATTATAAGCGCTCCCTTGAAAATACACTATGCTTTGTCCCTCCCTGAATTTTATTCTGGTAAAAAGAACTCTTATTCAGGATACACCTACCCATTTACCCTCTTTGCACTTACATATACCCATCTAAACTTTGCTGAAAAAAAATCCTGCATGGTGATGGAGGTACAGCTCAGTGGTAGAGCATTTCCCTAGCATGTGGTTGAAGCCTTAGGTTTGATCCCATAATCAGTGACAAAAGTCCTTCACAGATTGGTGACAGTATAAAATGAAAATGGCCAAGCTCTTGAATATTCAGGAGGGCCTGAGATCTTCCTGATTCCTTTTCTCTAGTAAGCTTACTTTCTAACTTTCCCCATTGATAATCCCCCCCCCAAACTTCATCTCCTCTCTTCATCTTTTTCATGCTGATGACTCTGAAAGTCAATTCTACATGTGATTGATCTCCCTTTGTCCTCCAGTACTATCAGACCCTAGTCTAAACCATCCACAGTTCTTTACCTAAACTATTTCTTGACCAATGTCCCAGTTTCTCATGCCCCTCTAGTCTGTTCTCAATTTAGCAGCAAAAAATGATACTCCTTTAAGAGCAAGGCATGTAGCTCAGTGGCAGAGTGCTTGCCGACCACACTCAAGGCCCTAGCTTCAGTCTCAGCAAAACGTAACACTCCCTTCATTAAAATTTTTCAATATATTTCATTGCACTTAGAACCTAGAATAAAAGCCAAATTTCTAACTGTTGCTTACAAAAATGCATGGTCTGGACTCTGCTGGTGTCTCTAGCAGTGCCTCTTGTCCCTCATCTGCCTTCTGTTTTTGATATAGCTGATTTCTTAATCTTGAGTTTTCAGAGTATATCATCACCTGAGACCTTATGAGACCAATCTATCTAAAATAGTCACTGTGGGTTTCCCCAATGCATACCTCCGCTTGTTTTATAACAGCATTCTGCCTCTATGTACATCCCCAAATCTGTAATTACTTGCTTAACCCATTAAACGATAGAATGATCCATCTGTTTCTTTGACCACCATGAATCCAGTAGCAGATACACTGCTAAGCACATAATATACATTCAAATGTATAAGGGATTCCTATGGCAAATCTAGAGGTAAGAGGAGAAAAAGGGTTGGCATGGTCCAGGGATTCAAAGAAGTTGGTATGAGGAATGGTGAAAAAAGGAGGATCCTGAAAGTATGCTTTGTTAAAGCTGGGACTTTAAAATAATGGGAGCCTTTGAAGTGGTTCAGTTGGTAGAGTAACATGATCTGTGGTTTTAGGAAGATCAGTCTGGTTGAAGGGTGCAGAATAGATTGAAAGGAGAAAAACTGGAGGACAAGATATTTAATCCCTCTGAGCCTTAATTTCCTCTCCTATAAAATGCATGATTATGTAGAAAATTAAAGATACTATGTTTATCTAGCATAATGTCTGGCAGGAATTAAGTATTCAAGAATGATAAACCATTTTTGTTATTAATTGAGAGTGCTGACCTTGGTGACTGATTAATATGACACTGAGAGGAAAGAAGTTAAAAGTTTTCCAGCCTGAAAAACTAGGTGTAAATTAGGATCCTGAAGTAAAGGAGAAAGTTGGGAGCTGTTTTAAATTTTAATATGAATTCACAGAGCATAGGTATAGGAAGATGATGCAAAACAATGTGTCAGGCATGTAGCCAGGAAAAAGGTTTTTACTTTTTCAGTATTTATATCCCATAAATTTATCCTTTTCAAGTGTAAATTTAGTGGTTTTTAATATGTTCACAAGATTATGCAGCCATCACTACTATAATTTCAAAACATTTCCATCACCCCCTGAAAAACCTGTTACACATTAGTTGTCACTTCCTATTTCCCCAGCCTCATGTAATCACAAATCTACTTGGTCTCTATAGATTTGCCTGCTCTTGACATTTCAGATAAGTGGAATCATTCAATATTTGGCATTTCAGGTCTGGCTTCTTTCTTATAACAATGTTTTTTGAGGTTTGTGCATGTTCTACTGTGTATTAATACTTAATTTCCTTTTTGTGACTAAATAATATTCCCTGTATCTATTACATTTTATCTACTCATCAGCTGACAGATGTTGGAGCTGTTTCCGTTTTTTTGTCTGTAATTAATGTTGCTATGGAAATTCATGTACAGGTTTTTTGTGAACATGTTTTCAGTTCTCTTGGTCATGTATCTAAAAGTGGAATTGTTAGATAATACTAAGTTCATGTTCAACTTTTTGAGGCAATCATTGCTCTTTAATACAAAGTCTGAAGTCTTAAGGGGTAGAAAAATCTGATGAAAAATATGGGTCGTCTCCTGAGAAGAATGCAGCATGTATACACATTTTGAGAAGTAACTTCGAATTTTGCATTAAAGGATACTCTGAATCCTTTCTGTGGAACTTTTGACCCTATCTTAAACTGCCAGCCTGCCTAGAAACACCACTTAGGAATGGCTTTGTATATTATCATTACAAAGTAAATTAAATGGACGGAATACTTCTGTAGAAGACTGCCATAAATTAGATAAGGCTGATGTGAACAAGAGGTTAAAACAATACATAAATAAAAGCAGGTGACGGCTGGGGATTTAGCTCAGTGGTTTCACCGCCTGCTGCGCAAGCGCAAGGACCCGAGTTTGATCCCTGGTACCAAAAATAAATAAATAAATAAATAAATAAATAAAATAAAAGCAGGTGAAAGAGCTACTTGCAGGATCACATATTGGTTGAAACATTTCAGTGAAATTAAAAGTTACAGTACTTTAAGTCTGATTCTGCCTTTCAGATGTTATGATATGTCCTTCAGTTGGGCTTTTCTGTTTTCCGTTATGGCCAGGCCTGCGCCTTGAGGAAGAGAAGAGCATATTCTCAGTATTCTTTTTCCAATCCTTCCAAAGAAATAGCTCATCCCAGTGTTGTAGGAACTGCATTTCTCATAGAGCTGATGCTCCTAACTGGATTTACTTCTCTTCAGTTGGAAACATCATATTCTACGTGTCATCTTTTGCTTTTATTTTTAAAAGGGGAGAAGACAGAGGAGATTAGAGAAAGAAAAAAGCCTGTATAATCTAAAAAAGTACTGTAAAGAATATCCATGCCTAGAACACATGTGCAATTCATAATATAGCTAAAATACTGTATATTCAGTAATATTCTTTTTTTTTTTTGGTACTGGGGATCGAACTTGGGACCTTGCACTTGCAGGGCAGGTGCTGGAACCACTGAGCTCAATCCCCAGCCCATTCAGTAATATTCTGATGAATATAGGAAAGACCATACAGTTGAATTATTTTTATTGTAAAAACACATAAATTAGTCCATTAGTGTTTCTATAAAAACATCAATGACTGGATAATTATAAAGAACAGAAATTTATTTTCTTATAGTTCTGTAGTCCAAGATCCTTGAAGAGTCCAAGATCCAAGTACCAGCAGCTTTCCTGTCCCCTGAGGGCTGCTCTTTTCTTTCAAATGACACCTTGTTGCTATATCTTCTGGAGAGGAAGAACAGTGTCCTCCCGTGGCAAAAGAGCAAGCTAGCCTAAAGTTGAGTGAATCCTCTTTTATAAGAGCTTTATTCCCATTCATGAGCTGACTACTTCTTCAAGATACCACTGAGAAGAGAAAATGCCAGTGTGAAAACTGGCAGTATATCACAGCCTCACCAGTACACCTGGAAAACAACTTAGTGAAGAGAAAAGGAGGAAAAGCTCTGGGAATCAAGAAAGAGTAAGCAGGAATACTAGAAATCACAGAAAAACTGAAGACAATGCAGAGAAAAGAACAAAGCAGGCTGGAATTCTAACCCCAGCTCCTGAGGAGGAGACCTGTCTCAGGCTATACAAGGTAAGCGTGGAGAGGGTTGGCAGGTTCCAGGAAAAACAGTGGACTGACTGCTGTGGTCCCAAGAAAAACTCATGATAGTGTAAACTGCAAATACAGTGGAATTTTACTCAGAAAGTGACATCTTCCACATGACAGTGTAGAATTGGAGAAGAAATCCAGTGTGGTACCTACTGTATTTGGGAGGTGATCAGGAACCATTTTGTGAACAGGTTCCATTGCTTGAGCTGAGCTGCTGTATTACTC